TGCCTTGGCGGCTTTCCGAAGGTTAAATGTATGATAGGCGAGGAGGAGGGGCGAAAGCCGTGGCCGGGCATGCGCGATGGGGAAGAGCCGGTGCCGGCGCCCTCGCACGCTGCCACCAATGTGCTTTCCGGGAGATTTTTACAAGCCGCCTGCCGAGGGAAATACTGTACGGCGGGGGAAGGGAAAGGGCAGGAGAGGAGGGGCTACGTCATGGACACCCGCGGAGGCGCCGAGCGATTCGGAAACGTCTTGATTTCAGGGTCGATTCCCTTGTGGGATGATGGCCAATCGTTTGTTTACGATGGGGGAGTGTTTGGGACGTTCAGTGAAGCGGAGCTAGGCGAAGCGAAGACGTGGGTTTCCCCCGCCCCCCCATTCCCAGCTTCTCCAAAAGCATTATTTTCGGTGGGTAGGCTTTTCTCCAGCTGCCCTCCCCCAATCGGATTAGCCGCCAAAGGACAACTCAGCGGTTTAGGAATCTGGTTGGGAGTTCGATTCCCCGCTGTGTCTCCTTGACAAGGGCCGGACTGGATGATCCATAGGGTCCCTTCCAGCTCTTGCAGTTCTAAGATCATTATCGATTCAGGTTTTTTTTTTTTTTTTTTTTTCATTGGCATAGCACAGCTATGCAATAACAATCCTAGCTTTGATCCCCCTTCCAATTCTTGCTGTAGGTTCAGGGCTGTTGTGCAGAGCACCGTCCTGTTGCGAAGCCATCGCGCCGGCTGTCAGCGTTGGCGCGTCGGGCGATCAGTTGGGAAAACGCTTTCGCGCGCTCCCACGCACATGCACGAGCCAGAAGAAATAATAACTTGGGAAATTCTCAGGAAACGGTTTTGGGCTGAGTTTTGGGTGGGGAGGGAGCAGTTTAGTGAATGAACAGTCCGGAGCCTTGCAAAAGCTCCCTGCAATTGGCTGTGTGCTGAGTTATTGAGGCGCTGATAGAGAATGTATCCCTTTAGGCCAGTGCTTGCCAACCTCGGGTATTCCAGGTGTTCTGCAATCCCCAGATGTCTTCACCACCAGCTGTGCTGGCCGAGATTTCTGGGAGCTGCAATCTAAGAACACCTGGATTACCCAAGGTTGGGAACCACTGCTTTAGGCCACTCTGCTTGAGCAGAAGCCCAGTTAAATTCAGTGGAACTTCCTCCCGTGGCTTTGGGGGTGCACTTGTACGCCTGTCCTGTTCATTTCATAGGACGATATAGGAACACAGGTTGTCGTTTGCAGTAGAAAAATGCAAAACGGGATAACGGAGACATGATTACTCCCCCTGTAACCACATAGACTCAGCACACGGGGAGACAGTTGTGTATCATCAGACTACTCGTTTAACTAAATCAGTGTAATAAAAAGTGATGTAACCTCTGGAATAGAAGCTCGCTCTCCTCCTCTGTCCCTCCCCCAAAAGCTGCAGGGACGGTATGTACCGGAGGCTGGGGTTATTGAATCCACTTTTTTCAGTAGAGGAGTGGAATGTAACGAGTTTGGAATGTGCCCAGCCAGGAACAATAAGGCCTCAAGGCCAGGCAGCGCCCCCCCCCCCCCCCTCGGATATAATAACCTGGAATGTGGTGCCTCGGCCCCAGCATCGCCTCCTCGACCCGAGCACGCACTTCGCTCTCAGCATCTAATCCTGGCATGGCCTGCCACCTGCTTTCCAGGGCACCAGGAGGCGGTGTCCGGGCCAACTCCATTCATCAACAAACCCCACGTGTTCCGCAATGGGGCTGCGGCGAAAGCGAGGCATGAAGTGGGCAGACTGGTGTGCCTCACCGGCTGTGCAAACAGGGCAGACTGAGTCAACTTTCTCCCCCTCCCCCGCTCCCGTGTCCGTTTCTTTTGAAAACATGGAGATTTCCATTGCTTCCTTTCATGCAATTTTGCAACCCCTTTCTCACCCTTTAAAAAAAAGGGGGAGGAGAATGGTGCCCACTTTTGTCCCCTGGCTTAAGGAGGCACTCGGTGGATCTCCCGGCTCCGCCGAGCCCTGCCTAGGCCTGACCGATCGCCGTGGAGTCGGGGGTGGGGGTGGGCAGAGGTGGAAAGCTTTGGGAAAGCCGGCCGGGGGGACAGGAAGCCTTGAGTTCCTCTCTGAGTCACTCCCTGCGCTGCCTTGGAAAGGCCATTTCTGAGGATCCTTCACGCCGGGCGAGCGCGGGGACTTTCACTCCTGCTGAGCGAAAAAAAAAAAATCTAGCGGAGGCCGAGAGAGCGATCCTTCTTGGTCCGGATCGCCCTCTTTCTTCATAGGTCAGGCCAAACAAGCCAAACTGGCATCATCAGGGCGTCGGGCACCGGGAAGGAACTGCTGAGGCTGCAGGAGAGGGGCTGTCGATCCTGTCTGGGACTTTGGTGAGAGGATCTCTTGGATGTAAGGCAACTGGGGGGGGGGTCTTTTTCACGCTTCTTCCTCCTCCCTCCTTCTCTTCCTCCTCCTTTGAACTGGGCCTGCTTGGGAGCCTGTCGCCACGCAGGCAAGGGAGCTTCTGCTCCTCGGAATGGGACTCTTGAGGTCTCCCCGCTCGGAGTGGCGGCGGCTGGACCTCCCTCTCCGCCCCCGGACGCGCCCCTCGGTGGAGACGGAGCACTTTGAAGCGACCTGTTTGGCAGCCTCGAGGGGGTGCCGGAGCCGGCGCAGCCCGCGGACAGCTGCGCTCCTCTGGGACGCTGGCGGCTCGCTGGCAAATAATCAATCCCAGATGATCCCCCGCGAAGCGCGCTGACTCCAGCGGTTGTCTGGACCCCTATTTCCTTTGAGGTGGTTTCTGAAAGGAAAAGTGGGGTGGGGAACGGCGCCGGTCTGTTCTGAGGCTGTGGGTTTCGGAGAAGTTACTTTTTCCGCTGCAGTTTCTGGACTCCTTCAAGCCAGCATGGGAACTGTAGTGCTAAAAAGTAACTTTTTCCGACTTCTGATTCTGAGCAGACCCGTTGATTTCAAGGGAGCGAAGATATTTCGATGGGGAAAATGTTTCTCTGCATGATCTATGACTATGGGTACAACTTCGGCTCGAATTTGTGACTGTTGACTTACTCCGTTCCCGTTCGAGTGCGGTTTATTCCTAGGTCGTTGCATAGGGGCGACGGCGGTAGTGATTTGTGAACTAATCTCAGGGAGAAGGCCTCCAGATTCAATGTGAGAAGGGCAGGGAGCAAGTCTTAGCCTCAAAACTCAAATGTAGGGGGGTGGGAAGGAGAGGAGAAGATGAGCTGAGATTATTGCCTGATTCCTAAAAGACTTTAAATTTATCCTCAGTGTCACTTCCGGTGGTTTCTGCCCTTGAAAAACAGGTGTCAGGGCTAAGTTATGCCTATGCAGAAATTCACTAGGCATCTATCAATGATTAGTGCATTTATTTGTATCATATGTAGGCTGCCATTCTCCCGGTGACGGGGCGCAAGGAGGCTCAAAATGTTAAAAGACTGTATTAAAAGCACAGTAAATTACAGATTAAGAAGCAATTAAACATGCAGTAATTAAAAATCCATTCATTAACTAAAAAAGTTTGAAACAAAAAAGAAACATGGGGGGGTGGAACAGCCATAGTAGAGTATAAATAGAAACTCTTTATGTTCATGGGTTGTAGATGGGAGATCAACAGATGCTGGAGCGGCTGGTAGTGGTGGCAATGAGGGAAGGTTTATCATTGCCCTCACACGAGATGCTGCTTGTAATTGTGCCCGAGGCCTCCGCTGGAGAAACAGTGTCGGGATGTCGCAAAAGCGTTTTTATGAGGGTCCTTGTGGCACAAACTGTTCCCTGAATAAGGAACAGCTTTGGTGCAATAATTTCGGATTCACAGATAACAGTATCTAAAAAGAGGGTAATTCCTAGGAAACAATAAAGGATCGTAGGATTCTGGAGTTGAGAAATGCGGAGGGCACTGCTGGCCTGAGTATTGCTTAGGAGAGCAAAATGACCCGTAGCAACCTTCAGACGCACGTCCCTGCTGTCGGACTACAACTCCCATCACCCCTGGCCTCGCCGGCTGGGCCTGATAGCCGTTGTCGTCCAAAAGGCGTGGAAAATTCAAACCCCCCCCCCCAAGTCCTATGGTGAGGGCAGGAAGCATCTGAAGGGCCGGAGGCAACGTCCTTCCTGGGCAGCGCCGTCCTGGCGTCGCGGAGGTGGCCAAGCGGCGCTTCGGAAGAAGCAAAAGCCCCCCCCCCCGCCGCCTCTTTGGATTCCCCAGGAGGCCCTTTCCGGTGGTTTCTCCGGGAGCGTGTGTGTGTGTGTGGGGGGGAGGTTGGAAAGAGAGACTGGAGCGGAAAGGGGTCGCCCCCACCGCGGCCGCAACTTGCCTCGCCTCCTTGTGAAATCAGCGCAAAAAAAGCGCGGTGTGTTGGGGGGGAAGAGAGGAGGAAAGAGCATCCGCCCGCCCGCCTTCCTCCTCCAGCCGGGCTTGCGC